TATAAAATTTTACAGTAGGTCATTCCAAAAAAAACCCCAAGAAACAGAGAGATGTGAATCCAGTTTGGGGAAGTGACACAGGGGGTTTAATTGAATTCCTGCTTTTAACAAACTTGGATTTGCATGTACTTTCTTAAGCCTGACAGACACCTGGCTGGTACGACTACCACCAATGCTGGGGCTTCTGCGTAAGCCTCTGCAGCTGGCAAGAGACACATTTCCGAGGAAGTACCTATATGTATCTCTATTAGTAGCCTGTAATCCTCGTACTGCCTTCAGATGCAAGTGAGAGTTGGCTTACCTTGTGAGTCAGGGAGTGTTGCTTCAGGTGGTGGGGCTGCACAAACTCCATGCCGCATTCGGTACAGATGTATGGGCGGATGTCTTTGTGCTTCATCATGTGATTTTGCAGCTGACTTGGGTACTGGAAGGTCTTGTCACACTCAGTGCAATTGTACTGTATAGGGCCACGGTGGGTGGTTAGGTGTCTCTTCAGCTGGGCCAGAGTTGGAAAGTCCAGGCCACACTCGACACAAATGTTCTCTCGTCCACTCTCATGCTTAGACTCATGTGCTTTCAGCTCACTGGGGTAGGCAAAACCCCTGCCACAGATCCTGCAGTTGTAAGGTTTGATGTCACTGTGTTGCATCATGTGTCTCTTAAGGTGACTGGTTTGAGTGAAAGCCTTGTGGCACACCTGGCACTTATGTGGCCGAGTGCCTTGGTGTGTCAACATATGCGTGTGCAAGTGACTCAGCTGCTTGAAAAGCTTGCCACATCGGGTGCAAGCATGTGGCTTAATGCCGCTGTGACCCAAGATATGAGTGACTAAATTGTACTTGGATGTGTAGGACTTCTCACACATGGGACATTGCCAGCGTTTCTGTTCTCCCCCCACATCAACATAGTAGCTGTCATCTATCTGAAGGTTGACATCTACTCTTTCCACTTTCTGTTTGTTTTCACCACTTTCTCTTACTTCAGCCCTCCTGAAGGGTGGTTCTGGAGGTCTTTTCATTTGAAAAGGGTTCCTGAAATGAAAATTTGGTGGTACAATGAAGGGAAACATTAAGCCGGGGTGGACTTTAGGATAATAAGGGTAAGGAGCCTGCATGAATGCTGGGCTACTGGGCCATGCCATGTTAGGCTTCACTGGTTCTTGCTTAATGGGCTTGGCTCCAAAATGCTCCAGCGTTCTGTAGAATTGAAAACCAAAGTTGCAGAGGTCAATCATCTGGGAACTGTACTTGGGTTGAGTGGGCTGTTGGAACACCAAGGGGAGACTGGAAGAGCCTATATCATTGTGATCTTCAGGTCTATCTGGTGATGATGAGGAGTCCTCAAGGGTGATGGGAGGAGGCATTTTTGTTGGCATACTCTTGCGTTTACGAGACCCTCCTTCCAAGGACCCTTGGAATGTTTCCATGGTTTCAAGAGAAGGAGGACCATAGCGGAAATGTGAGAGGTGCATTCTGAATTCTTCATCAAATTGAGTTGTTCTGTGTGGCTTTATAACAGGGCTGAGTGGCTGCAGGCAGCGGGAGAAGGGAGAGGCTCGGGTACTGTCCACATTAAAACTTGATTCTTCATTCTTCATCATATTCAATTTTCTTCTCTGTGGCCCAAATTCCTTAAAGTAAGCAAAAGAAACTACATATCTGTTTATTTCTTCATGTTTTTCTGGATTTAACATTCTACTGACCTTTTTATTGTTTTGAAGTTCGTTGGGTTTTTTAAATAAATACAACTAAGGATTTCTTAGGTCTATATAAGACAAAGGCCTTTTAAAGCAGGATTATATTAAAATTCTGTCCTTGGCTGCACATGAGCAGGCTCTAGAAATTGGCGGTGCATCTAAAGGATATGGTAATACAAACAATAATATGCACATTTATTATGGTTGTGACATGAAAAGCCAAAGCCAAAAAATGTTAAACTTCTTTGTATAATTAACATGTGCTGCTGTGAGAGAAAACAATGGCCAAGTGATCTAAGGACACTGTGTACCATCAGGTTTTGCGCCATGTTTCCTGGCTACTCGCACTTTGTATTGTAATAAGAAGGCGGAGATTAATTTATTTTCTTTGTTTTAATCGCAGAGATATTTGCCTGGCAGATCTGGGGGAGGAAAGACATTTGACAACTCTCCAAATTACATTCAGTTTAATAGGCTTTATCTATGATTTTTTTGTTGTTGTTTGCTTGTTTCTAAACAGGTGGGCAAAATCGCCACTATAAAAATAATGTAGAACTGATGTCAACAAAACCCCTGGGACTCCAGAGTAACTGACACCTAAAAATGCTCTGGGCCTATCTGATGATACAATGTGATCAGGCAGATTAATAATTTTCTCTTGACAAAATTTTATGTCCATGCGGGGAACATGTTTATGGTCATACCAGGAACTTCATCTGAATTTGTGGTTCATCTAAAACATTAGTTATGTATTTTGGTTCATCTTAAATAACTCTGCTACCTTTTCCCTTGTCCTTCTAGAGTCATAGAATCAGAAAACTTTTGTTAGAAAAGACCTTTAAGATTATCAATTCCTGCCATTAACTGCTGAATCCACCGCAAAAACATGTCTCTACCACATCTATACGTCTTTTAAATACCTCCAAGGATGGTGACTCAATCACTTCTGTGGACAGCCTGGTTCAGTTCTTGACCACCTTTTCTGTGAAGAGGTTTTTTCCCTGGAACAACTTGAGGCCATTTCTTCTTGTCCTGTCACTTGTTACCTGGGAGAAGAGGCAAATACCCATCTGGTTATAACCTCCTTTCAGGCAGTTGTAGAGAGTAAGAATGTTACCCTGAGGCTCCTTTTCTCCAGTAAAACAACCTCAGCTCCCCCAACCACTCTTCATAGGACTCGTGTTCCAGACCTTTCAACAGCTTTATTGACCTTCTCTGGACACACTCCATCGTCTCAACATTTTCCTTGTCGTGAAGGGCCCAAAATTGAACACAGGATTTGAGGCCTCACCAATGCCCAGTACACGAGGACAACCAGCTCCTGCTGGCCACACTATTGCTGGCACAGGTCAGGATGCCATTGGCCTCCTTGGCCACCTGGGCACTGCTGGCTCCTGTTCAGCTGCTGTCACCAGCACCCCCAGGGCCTTTTCCTCCGGGCAGCTTTCCAGCCACTCTGCCCCAGCCTGTGGCACTGCCTGGGGCTGTTGTGACTCGAGGGCAGGACCCAGCTCTGGGCCTTGTTGAACCTCACAGCACGGCCTTGGCCCATGATCCAGCCTGTCCAGATCCCTCTGCAGAGCCTGCCTGCCCTCCAGCAGATCAACACTCCCACGTGTTGTCCACACACTTAGCTTAGTATTGTCCACAAACTTAGCAAGGGTACACTTGATCCTCACATTCATCAATAATGATATTAAACAGGACTTGCCCCAGTACTGAGTTGAGCCCTGGGGAACACCACTGGTGCCCATCTTCCAGCTGGATATAACTCCATTCACTACCACTCTCTGAGCCAAGGCATCCTGACATTTTTTTACATGGGAAACAATGCACCCATGAGGCCATGAACTGTCTGTTTCTCCAGGAGAATGGTGTGGGAAATGCTGTGAGAAGCTTTGCTGAAGCCCAGGAAGACAGAATACATAGCTTTTCCCTCTTCCACTGAGCCATAGAAGGAGTTCCCGTTGGGAAAGTAGGCCTTGCCTTTCATGAGCCCATGCTGGCTGAACCAGATCCTCTGCTGAGCTGTTCTGTAAATGCTGTGTGATGTCACTCAGGAGCTGCTCTACAATCCTCCTTCCAACCCTAATTGTAGGTAGGAGTCATATTTGCCAACTTCCACTCAGCTGGGACCTCCTCTGACACCCAGGAGTGCTGGTAAATTATGGAAATCAGCTCGGTGAGCACTTGCACTATCTCCCTTGGTCCCTTGGGTAGATCCCATTAGTCCCACAGACTTGCAGCAGGTTGCTGACTATTTCCCCTTGGATTATGGTTCCCTGTTTGTCTTCCAGCTCAGAGGCATGAGCACCCCGAGAACAACTGATCTGACTATGCAAGACTGAAGCAAAGAAGGCAGGAAGTATCTCAGCCTTTTCTTCACTGCTTGATGCTGAGTTTCACCCCACATCCAACAAAGAATGAAAATTCTCTTTGGCCCACTTTTTGATGTGAATGGATATGTAGAAGCTGTTATTTTCTGTGGCAATAGCTGGACTAAATTCGAGTTGGGCTTTGGCCTCTCCAGTTTTCTCTCTGATAAATTCGTGACATCCTTGTAGCCCTCCTGAGGGATGCACTTACATGGATGTGTGTGTTTGTGTGCTTGTATCTAGCCAGCCAGGCAGAGGTTACGTTGGAAAACTAGACGCATTTTCCCTCTATCATCTGTGACATGTTGATTCTATTTATACCATCATTCTTGGAAATGCTGGGTGGAGAGCATGAAGGTGAGTAGAGCACTAAATACACTCCTATTTCTATTTCAGGAAGCTCCATGCTGGATAAGCCTTCTTCTAAAGATAGATGAAAGTAAATCTCTGTGACCTAGTCAGACCATGGGCGAGAGAAGGCATCTTAAAAAACTTCTTGCAAACAGATTGTTTCCTTCTAATAGTGCAGAGTGTAGGATAATTATCTTTGAGATAAAAGTGAAAAAACACTAAGATGGAAAGTTTTGACAAAAGGATCAAACAATTCACAAAGAAGAAGGACCAACTGAAGGAAAAATTGAAGGATATCTAAACGTATGACTCAAAAACCACATTGGATAGAAGGAAAAAGATAAAATAATTGCTTACAACTTGGACAAATATCTCATAATTATACCACAGTATTACTTTCAGTTGTTAGCATACTGATTAGAAACAGTGCACATATATATACATAATATCAGTTCAGGTAATCATGGAATATCCTGATTTGGAAGGGACCCACAAGGATTATCCAAGTCCAGCTCCTGGCCCTGCACAGGACACCCTCAAGTATTACACCATGTACCTGAGACTGTTGTCCAAATGCTTCTTGAACTCTGTCAGGCTTGGTGCTGTGACTGCTTCCCTTGGGAGCCTCTTCCAGGGTCAAACCACCATCTGAGTGAAACACCTTTTCTTGATACTCCAACCAAACTTCCCCTGACTCTCTATCAGGCTGTTTCCTCAATTCCTGTCACTGGTCACCAAAGTGAAGAGATTGGTACCTTCCCTGCCTCTTCCCCTCATGAGGAAGTTGTAGACTGCAATGAGATCTTCTCTCAATCTGCTCTTCTCCAGGCTGAAGAGGACAAGTGGCCTCAGCTGCTCCTCATATGGTGTCCCCTCAAGGCCCTTCACCATCTTCATCTATATGCTTCATAAAATGTGGTACCCAAAACCACACACTATGTCTGTGTGCATGCACACATATATATGTAATATATGTATGTATGTTCCATAAGAGGGAAATTTTACTGGGTATTTATCCTAATGTTTACTTGTCACCCTAGCTCCCTGGTCAAAATAAGGAAAAGTTAGGTCTTGAAAACTCTTTGTGTACAAACGTTTGGCTTATTAAAAAGGGAGAAGGGGAAGGGAATCTCCCAAATACTGAAAAATTCTCAACCTCTTTACAAAAGAGAAAAAATTGCTTTTAAAAATCCTTTTTAGTAAACTCGCACAATTTGAACGTAATACTTAACGACCAAAATCTTTCCTACGAAGTATATGCCTCAAACATTTTTCAACTTTATATCTCATTTTCCCCCAGCAATAATGGTATAAAATTATTTAGAAAGCCTATAAAAATTGAGGACCCAGCTATGTTATTTACTGCTTCTGTTGGATTATTGAAATGCTACCAAATGTACACAGAAATGACAGTGAGTTGTTTCTAATTGTTTCACTTGTTTCCTGGCTGCCAGTTACTCCCTTCTTCCAAACACACAGTTGTGCAAAGTTCTACTCCTTCTGGAGCACAGACCTGTAGAACTCCTTGAAATTACTAGAAATAAACATTTTCCTTGCACTACTAACCTTTGGGTGCTTTCACTGAGCCTGTGGGCTTATTCCACTGGCCACAGCTACAGGCATCACAGGACCGATCCTACAAGAGAAAGTGTTTATAGTCAGTGACCAGCTCTATCAGGGACATGCTGTATAATCCAACACAAGAGGACTTAAAAGGAAAGGGGAAGTCTAAATACGGATCACCATACTTGTTAGTTTTTCTTCCCCTGAAATTGCCATGATATATACATTAATTATTTCTTCTTTCATTCTGGTAGCAAAACCTTGCTAATTTGAATGGAGGTATGATTTTAACTACGCTCAGAACTTAATTCCACAAAGACATCAGCAATGCAAAATATACTTAGGGAACAGTCCCTTGTTCTTTAAATAATTCCTATAAAGAATAAGCAGAAAACTTTAAGGTTTTAGTACAGTCCACAGTACTATATTTCTACCTGGATCTGGAGTAGCAGAAGTCATTTTAATACTCAACAACAAACAAGGCAGGGAAGAAATTTGAATATTTTTTTTTACATTATTTTAATATTTATTTTTATTTAAATATATTTATATTCAGATATCCCCTGGGGACCTTTTGTGTTTCCTATTTCAGGACTTTAAAACTTCTTTCTTTCTGCAGAACTCATTATTTAAAATGTATTGCTATGTAGTGTGATTCTAAATATTGGATGGTCATTGAAAATTCTAGCTTTTTTCAGTAATATATAAGGTATTAGGTTTTGAAAGTTTGGATGGAAACTCACTGAGTTTCCATGCTGTATTGGTCCATAAACATAAGAACTCCCACTAAACTGAGCTCTCCCAAACCAAATCAATTTCTGTAGAAGAGACAAGCATCCTCAATTTTTTTTTTCTTTATGTAAATGGAAATACAGTATTTTAAAGAATAGAACCACAAATTAACTCTTCCTGCCCTTTCAAAGCAATAAATGTTTCAGTGAGTTGAGACAGTTTTTGAGGAATTTCTGAAATACAGTATCTATGCAGTAGCTAATAATCTTGTTAATTTCCATGGAAGAGGAAGAGAGTTTAATACAGAATATAAAATCACCATTTACTTTCCCATGTCCATTCATTTCTAAGACAAAACGATTAAAGAAAGTATATAAATGATGCTATTCATTCTACAAGGAAATATATCTCCAGTTAATACCCATTACAGGAGTGAACAGCAAATTTTCTTGAGAATTCAGTAGAATCAAGATTCTGGTTCCTGAATGGATGAAAGTGTTTTCTGTCTATAGAAATGTCCAGCCATAAAAAATGTGAGGTTATGGAGTTTCTCAAATTTAAACACTGGCTACAACTGTTCTGATTTTTTCCCTGGGCAACGCAATCTTACAGACAGAAATAAAGCTAAGATGAATGAAAGGGGTATGACAAAGTTAAATGGGTTACTTTATTAGGAGATTTGCACTTATGTTTTCTCCTTCAGAAGAAGAGGGCACCTACAAGCAAAGAATTAAAGCTAACAGATGTTTCTGTTGGATGTGGGACGGATTACTGGCATATTTAACACTATTTTGTTTCTTGAGCTAAAGTTGAGCAGTTGGTGAGCTTCAGCTTTATTGAACAACCAGCTGGGTTTTTTCAATCACTGATTCTTGTCAACTGTTATTATGGAGATAATTATCATTATTTTAATGGGTTTAATGAGCTCTCAGTCTCCTCTTCCAAATATGTTTTGGGTTTAAATGTATTCAGTTATACAGCTGTTGAACTAAGCAGCAAATTATTTACACAGTTTTCTCTCATTTGCTATTTATGCAAAACTTGCATCTGTCTCAGGATCTGACTGAGGGATTTTATTATACTGAATTAACTTCATTTCAGAAGTGAAGTGCTCCCTACTGAATCTAGACTGCTTTAACTTATTTTCCATGGTTTGGAAATGCCAAGAACACCTGAACTGAGGTGAAAATTTTCATTACTGGTAACCAAGAATTTTCAGGTAGTACACATCTGATGCCTCCTTACAATTTTCCCTGCTATTTTCCTTCAGTGAAGGCATGGATCCTTCTAGGCCAAAGTTAATAAAACATGTCCAAACCCACATCAGAATTTCCTTAAAATCAGTGTCAAACCAACCATGTTCTCCAGGCATAAATATCCACATTTCAAGCAGAATGTTTTGAAAAATGGACCCCATTAACATATATGGAGTGTATGCTAATAAATTCATCGTTCATAAATAATCTGATTATATAAACTGTGTGCATATCATATATAAATTAAGTATATATTAAGACACCCATATCAGCCTTCAAGTTTCTATTGAAACTTCTATTGTATTCTATAAGCTACAATATTTGAAGCTAACTTAAAAGATTATTTATATTATAAATTAAAAGAGCACATTTTCTGCCATAGTTTGGAGCTGTGAGAAGACAAAAATTTAGACTACCTTGTAAAAATAAGTATGGATTTACAGAAAGTATCCAAAATCAATGAGTGCAGATGTTGATGAGGAGACACAAATATAATGGAAGTTTTTAGAAAAACAAACCTGAGCTGGGAATAATAGTAATTGGGTTTAGTCAAATCCTTTTCCATACCACTTCTACAAACACTAGTTTTCTCAGTCTCACATGCATGTGGATCCAGTGTCAAATGAAGTCAATGATTTAACCATTAGCTCAATTGTCTGTGGAGATAAGGTTTCTTGTTCTATGCATTTTACAAGAGATATGTCTGCTTTATTGGACAGTACAATCAAGATAAAGATACTGCCATAAATATTCCTCTTCCCTTTTTGGATTACCATCACTAATAGAACAGGAATTGGAAGTAAGTAAACAATTGTTCATGAACATGATCTGGAATAACTGAAAATGAGAAGTGGACCAGATCAGGTTTTTTCTTCCTATATCAGTGTGATAGTAATAAGAAGATCACTGTCTTTTCACTTCTCCCTGGGAAATTACCTTCATCTGCTGGTAGTAGGCTTCAGGATAAAACTTCTTCTTTCTATCAACATATGTGGGGTTTTTCCCTCAGTGAATACTTGGTAAGAGAAAAGTGATAATCTTTGTAATTCTCCATAGGACATAACCAGACCTCACTAAGGCCTGTGGGAAGACTTCCAATGATATCTGAAAGTACTTCTCAGTTTGCCTCATTATTTGTTATGGGTTCTGTTGCCCAATGAGATAGTATCCCATCTATTCCTCAACCAAATGAAAAAAAAAATATATTCAGAACGTATGTCAGCAGGTGGCAACCTTTTCAGACAAGCTTAATGAAAATCAAAGAAAGTTAATTGATTAAAAATCTGGCTGCTTGATATGACACAGTAAACATACAACAAGTAATGAACTTTCAAGGATATCTTATTTCTTAAATTATTTTCCCCTTCATTTGCTATTTTAGTATCATCCTAACTTCATGTTTGAAGTTCAGTCATTTTAGATATTCCTTCTGGTCTTAGGGCTTCTTATCCAGCATTGCTGCATTAATATTGTCTGGAAGGTGTCACCAATACAAAGAAATGGGTCTTCTCACAGAAAACTGTGAAATAGAAATTGTCTCCCTGCATTGTCTTTGCTTCTCCCAAATTTCAACTGTTTAAGTTGCATAATTTTTTGTATATTAGCTGAGAAATGCAGAAGTTTAACATACCCATTTGCCTGCACTGACTATAGTCTTTGAAATCATCTTGGATTTGTGTGTAAATTGTATTCATTTGTTTCATTGGTTGTATTCATTTTCAGAGAGCAAAGCACTGTGAGCATTTTCACGGGAGTATAGTTACTTTGGTATTCATTATAATAGATAAAATGCCTTAAAATACTATCAAAATTATACACATTCACTTTTCACATAACTTACAGATCATTTTTATTTTGATAATTACTGAAATAATCTAAACTAGATATTCAGATTTCCTATGCCAAAAGTCTGTGGCAGTCCTAACATGCAGCCTGCCAAAGCTGGGGTACTGTTTGTGGCATCACATGTGTTTATAGGGTTTATGTCATAATTTACTTTTCCATGTTTACACTAATCAAATTTGAACTAAAAATAAGTTGACAGATTCTGTAATGAGGTAGCTGCAGATATGTTTCTTTTCTCTCTCGTGTGTGAGAGCTTAGTTGTCAGTTTAGCAAAATGGTTTGCTGTCCCTCTTGTTGTTTTTATGTGTGCTCTGTCCTTATTCTAAGGGACACCTTTGCTATCATTCTCTCTATTCCTCCCTCGCCTAACAAGGGAGTGGGTGAGGGTGACAGAACAGTATGTCTGTGTTACCCACAGATTATCTACCCTAGGGGCTTCCTGGCAATGCCTCTAGCAGTACTTAGCCCTGTGGACCTCTCCAATCATTTCAGGTTATAAACAAAGTAATTTTTGAGTATTGTTTAGGACACTGCTTTTGTTCTTTATTTTTCTTTATCTTATCCTCCTTTCTCCTTTTTTCTTTTTCTTCCTGTTTCTGAGTTTTCTTAATTCTTCTCTTCTGTTCTTCGCTCTTCACTTCTGTATTTTATCTGTTGTTCACTCCCTATCTACTTCTCTATTCTGTTTGCTAAAATGATCAGCAACACAGACGCAACCTGCATAATGAAATGAACATTAAGTCAACAAACTCTGAAGAGTTAGCTGCTTACACAAAGTCACCACAGACCACAAGCTACACATGGTGGGAGCCTGCAAGGCACAGCAAATTGTATGGTCTAAAAGTGTGTAAAGGGGCCAAGATTTTATATCCTCAGCTGAGCAACTGCATCTGCCTGATTTGCTGGTACTAACATGGAATTCAAAGCTGCTTTGGAGTGCAAGGGAAAGGGAACAGCTGTTTGCTGGCAGACCTCTGGGTTCACAGTGTAGCTCTGCCCCATTCCTACCCACAGCAGGGTGGGCTCTGGTCCAACCTCTTGCCTTCCACTGTTCCTCCCCAAAAACCTGCTAAGTGTAGCTTCAAGGAAACAGAGCTCACCTCTGGTGAGGCACAGGAGGATGTAAAACCAGGCTTATCAGCTCAGGCTAGCGGTATAATCCAAGACACTGGTCTCATGAAGAAACAAGAAACCAGATGGCATATTATGTCAGCTTTCCACCTGGTCTTCAGGCAACTTA